CACCGGAGTGAGTTGCTATAGGCAGCCCATTTATTTTGAATGCCTTGTATGAGAAAAATATGTCCTGCGCCATTTTTTTAAAAATGCAGCGCAATGCGTCCACGTCTTTGCGTTGAGATGGGCAGAACCTTTAAAATATGTCAAGCAGGGTGTAATTAAAGTTTTTTTAAATTTTTTTTAAAATGCAAGCAGTGTGTGTCCTTAACTATGACCTGGTATCAGCCTCTTGCAGTCCTCCTGCACAGCAGAGCTCAGACTGGCAGAGGGAAATGCGCCAAAAGGAACCGATCATGTGTGCTGCAGTGCATGGAGCATGCCGGTAGGAGGAGAGATCAGAGAGATGAGTTTATCAGTCCGCTGCTTCTCCTTCAGAGAAGAGACCTGTAAGTGAAAGTGAAACTGCAGGGGAGGAAAAAAATCAAGTCTTCTGTGCTGCCAGCCAAGGCTGTGCTTTGTGACAGCCGTTTAAATCTCAGGGCCGGATGGACACAAATGCATATCCTTTGGCAGGCAAAGCAGCTCTCTTGTATGTATTTCGCTGATTGGTTGGCGTTCGGTGAACGGTCCCTCCGTTTTGTGTTTTTAATTGCACCCCAGTGACGCACATCACGCTTCGTTCCTCAGACCAGAAGGATTCCCCAGAGCCTGGATTGTGTATCTTGCATACGTGCCGGATGGGCACCAACGTGCCGGGTACAGCAGGCAGGGTTGAGCAAGCGACGATCGGTGCAAATCCGTGACGAAATACGGATCCTGTTTCAACACTGCGTTCTAGTTTATGATTAGCAGGATTGCATGCGGCTGATATGACGACGCAGCGACTGTCTCCTCCACTGCAAGCCAAAGCTGCAGCCACTCCCCCCCCTCTTCCCCTCTCCTCCCCCTCCTCCAACCGGCTTTGCTGACATGTCAGGAATTTGTTAGAAAGTGCAATAGGCTACTAGGACAGACGTGTGACAGCTGAGGAAAGGGAAGGACTCCCATCGCTGCCCGGCTGCAAGGCAAACTCCAATGTGTTGTCGCTGTACGGAGGAGGGGCGTTCAGTGGTGAGACCTTTTGTTAATCACCTGATATCTGCGACGGCCTCTGAACTTTACAAGGCTGAGCGAGATCGTTTGTGTGTGTGTGCGTGTGCGTGTGCCAGTTCAGATCTCCCCCCGCTATGGATCAGAGCAATTTCTATATTTCCACCAGTTTCTCTGTCACCTCCGGTCTGAAGGATTATAGACAATGTTACTTTGTATCTCTCTATCTCCCTCTGATCAATGTTTATAAACTTTGTTTCAGAGTGTTAAATCTTTGACAGCGGCTTCTACACTCTTTTATGTACACAGCTGCTCTCGGTTGTCATTTTGAGTGTCGGGATTTGGTAGGCAGTGGCAGGGGGAGAGTGGCAGGAGGACGGGATGATAATTGAATGAAAATGTTTTTGGTCATTCAGTGTCCACGACTGGTTACAATGTAACTGCAGTGTTGTTCAGGAAAACACCATCCCCTCTAGGTGATCTATATACACAGTTGGTTGAGGAGACCGTCACAGCCCGTTCAGAACAGAGTGACAGGTTCTCTTTAAAGCCAACCTCAGGTCTTTTCTTCTACTCTCAGTGATGAGAACCGTTTCCAATGCTTCTCTGAGGTTCCCTCTTCTTGCACAGGTGACAGGTCCTCTTAGTGGTACAAGAGCCTAACGTGCCCATTTCCCCCGCCTCTCCCAGGAGCGTTCCTGGACATTCTACTGCCCGAGGCGACGGCTGAGTTGGCGATCTTATGAACGCCGCCAAACCTTAAATCGCTCGCCCGCCGTCCTTCATTCGTCTTATTAAACCCATTTGGTCCACCAGCAAAATACATCCCGCGATCTCACCTGGGATTCATTATTTTGAAAAACAATTATGAATAATCCTGAGCAGATGCGACTTTATATGTAGAGAATGCGGAGGAAATGTATTTATTAATGAGTATAATCTGCATTGTTTGTGTGATTGTTCTGAGCAATCTTGCGAACCAATCGAAGAAATGTTTTGTTTTTGTTACAATGGAGAACAAATGACAGAATCTACCCGACCCAGTCCAGCCTTCCCCCGACCTACTGGGAATGTTTTTGTTGTTTGTGGCTGAGGGGTTGATTTATGTTAATATTAGTAATTGTAGGATTATTGTTTTTTTTTTGTAGTTTCAGTGATATTGTTTCTTTATTTCTTTATTTATGATTATTATTATTATTATTAGGGCTAGTTCACACCAAGCGCAGAGCAGGTGCAGACCGGATCAAAACTGCGTCCAATGTATTCCAAAGGTATTTTTAGCTGCAGATCCAGAGCAGGTAAAAAAACTGCAGCAGGCCCTATTTTACCTGCTCTGGATCTGCAAACGCATCTGCAAACGCATGCAAATGCCTGGAACGCACTGAAAGCCCATGTTAAACTAAAATTTTTTTTAGCCAAAAACGCATCTAAAAGACTAGCGTGCGTGTGCAGAAACCTGACCGGATCTGCTCTGCATTTGGTGTGAACAAGGCCTTAATGATAATACTGAGACTGCAAAAAAAAACCCCACACAACACTAACAATCCTAATATTACAAGTATTAAAATACATAAAACAGTAATACATAACATGATAAAAGAAAACATTATTTATGTTAGAGGATAGGGCCAGATCAGGGGTAGGCAACCCTTGGCTCTCCAGCTGTGCTGAAACTACAAATCCTATAAGGCATTGCAAGACACGGGCATGACTCCCTGAGGCAGAAGCATTATGGGATTTGTAGTTTCAGCACAGCTGGAGAGCCAAGGTTGCCTACCCCTGGGCTAGATGATCGGTAAAAAACCAGCACTCGCAAAGGGATCGTCCAAAACAAACCAATGCTTACATGTTTCAGCCCCCAAACTGGGCGCCTTAGCCGTTGCTTGGTGATTTGGGCTTTTAAGACAAACGATAAATCGCGTCACCTGATCTGCAGTATTCTTGTTTGATCGTTCTGAGTCTTATGTTTCTTTTCCTTTTCTTTCTCCAGCCAACATGGCGAGCATACTATCCAAGCGGCTCGGGAAGAGGTCCCTGCTCGGTGCCCGGGTATGCACCGCCCCGATGTTATCCGCGGACGGCATGTCGGTGGAGTCGGCGGGAGACCTTGCCGTGTCGGCTCACCTCGGAGCTTACGAAGGCGGATGCTACAAGGAGTGCTTGGAGGAGGCCATGTGTCCCACCAACTTGTCCACCAACCGCTTCAAGCTGTACCCCGGACAGAAGGTAAGACCGCTGCTCGAGTGCGCTCAGCTTCCCGGACTCCTCCACAGACCCCCCTCCCCCCCCCACCAACTATATCCCGACATTTGGGCTTAGATCCGTCTTTGCTCCATAGCAGTCCATTGCTCAGGTCCCATGTGTGGAGCTTCAGAAGTTACACCTACTATGTACCATCAGAGGGGTTGCTATTGGTCTTAGGCTTAGGATAGGATCCACATTGATGGAATGCAATATCATTGATCTTTGTGTATTGGGATCTCTCCGGGATCGGGGCTTTATGACACAACATTGTCCTTCTCCACATTTGCTGTTACACAAGGTATGCTATAAAATAAAGATACATTAAGGATACATTAACCAGTTCAGCTATCCCTAGGGCTGGATTTCCCACAAGGCCAACCAAGGCCCGGCTTTGGGGCAGCAGGGAGTGGAGGGGCAGCAGGGGTGTGGAATTCCTATCTCCTGATGCCCGGGACATGCAGTTCCGAGCGCCGGGCGGGGAGTTGTTTTCTACATTTAGCCCGGCTTTGGGCAAGCAGAGCTAAGCGTACAGTGTTTTGTACAAGTGATCCCGGCGATGTCACCCAGATCACTTGTGCCAGCAGAGAGAGTGAATGCGGCCCTGGCTAAACCCCCCCGTACGCCCATATGGAGCGGAGACACTTTCACATTTCTGCTACAGGTCTATTTGGCAATAACTTTGTGCTTACTTAAAGCAGAACTCTGGGGAAACTCAGAATGTAAACGAACAATCGGCTTCCCTCACTCTACATGTAGCTCGGTTTGTACAAAGCAGGACTGAATGTAGAGAGGGCAACTTCCCCACAAGGACACCGCTGCCGCCCCTCTGCGCCCTGCCGCCCTGAGGCCGGGCCTCGGTGGCCTTGTGGGAATCCGGGCCTGGAAACACTTTCTTAGCGCTGTTATTGGTATTATTATTCCTGTTTTTGATCCCCAACGACTGCAAAGTTGTTGCCGTTTTTCTCTAATGTGACTTCGCAGGATTCCAGATTTATTTGTGTGCGTTGGAGCTTTCCCCCCACGAATATGGCGGATGGAAGGAATCTGCCGCTCCTCACGGGGTTTACTTTCACGCATTCTGTCTTGAATGTATTCCGGAGCCCCGGAGAGATGTGTGGAAAAGGAAACATTGACTTCGGGGGAATCTTTTTGGAAAGCTGAACTCTTGTTTTAAGCCAGAAATATTTTCCTGTTTTTTTTGGAGGTCAGTGGGAAGAATGTCCCTTACATTGGGGGTCAGTGGGAAGAATGTCCCTTACATTGGGGGTCAGTGGGAAGAATGTCCCTTACATTGGTGGTCAGTGGGAAAGAACATCCATGCCACCCTTACAGTTAGCTAAAGACATCTTTGGTGTCATGGGTTCTGGCTTTGCCAAGTGGCATTGGTCCTGGAACTTTGCAGGCACCATCAGGTTAATCGGCCACAGGAGGAGGACCCCTAGCAACCTCTGGTGGCACTCTGGCTGGAGATGTCTGGTATACAGTCTTCAGTGACGGAGTTTCAGGTTTAATAACTGCGTTTGTGTTTGCTATAGCTGAATATTTGCTGTTCTATCCCCCTGTCGTGTGGTGTTCACCATGTGGCCATCTGAGTGACTGAGTTTCACTTTTGATGCCCAGTTCTGCTTCAGTCACATTTCATCCACGTCTGCAGAAGGTTGTGCAGAAGCTTTGGTCTTGCAGCTCACGCACCGGCCATGAGAGGTGTTGAATATGATATCTGATGTCATATTTTTATGTCATATTCATATTCTTGTTCTTAGGGTGAAAAGTTTAAAAGAGGAAAAATAGCTTCCGTTCTTGCTTGAAACTCATAAATGTGTTTAATTACAAAGTTACAAATGATTACAAAATAATAGCATAAAACAAAAGTATAGAAATATGTAGATGTATTAATAAGTTCTTGTGTTTAAAGTGTTAGTCTCTCATGTCTGTGTGTCCCTCCATGACCGCATGTCCGAGTGTGTGTCCATCAAGTCAGCGTGTGTGTCAGTGTGAGTCCTTTGTGCTCCAGTAACTGAACAAATGTATATATAGAAAATCAATCATCACTTATGTTCATCACATGCATACATAATCCCTATATGAATAATACCCTTTTAACAAGAGGAGACCCATTCGTGTCTGTTCTTCCTAGACCTCCCTAATCTTCATGACTAAGTCCTTATTGGGTATAAACACATCAAAGGAGGAGTAGGGTCTGCTGGAGAGCCATGTGCTTCTGTCTGCCTTTTGTGATTGTTTGAACTGCAATAAAGTTTTTTTGGAGACAAAAAAAAAAAAGCCGCTCATTCCATTTCTCTGTCTGCATTCTATTGAAGGTTTATGAACACATTGTAAGGTCTCCTTTTGTTCTGCTAGGTGTACATCACACACAATGGCAGGGAACGGGTCGGTTTAGTGGAGCAGCACAATCACGTGGATGACGAAGTGAAGGTTTTCGTCCTGGAACTGGGGCTCCACCTGTGCAGGAAGACCGAGGACGTGCGTCTCGCGGAGGCCCCCAAGGCCATGAGCATGCCGATGGAGCAGACCCTGGCCACCAGCCCCGTAGGGCACGCCAGCGTGGCTCAGAGATCCGTGTCCCGCAGCATCGATGTCCCCAAGAGGTGAGCCCCATGAACCAGGCAACCTTTGAGACGCTGCGCAGCGTCTATGGTGATCTTTTGATGTGTGCTCGGGGCTGATAATATGAATAAATTATTATTCTAGGCTTCAGCTGTAGTAGATAACTTCAGTCTTTTGTATGTGTAAAGGGGTGCCACTTATTTTTATTATCATGGATCACATGATTAGTGGCAGGCCCTTGTCCATAGTGGTCAGTTCAGAAAGGGTACCGGCATCATGGCCTACATCAACGTCTACAGAACATAAGCAAGTATGGGTCTGCCATTGAGTTTGCCAGTCTAGTGTATAGAGCCGCCCCCTTCAAGAAAAGTTAAACCGGTACCCCAACCAAAACTTTGTCTCTTCTCATTCATTGAGACACAGTTGGATGCATTAGACATGTGGGTTTATGCTGCCACCTGCAGGAAAAGGACACGAGGTGCAATAAAAAAAAAAGCAGTATAGGGGGGCTTTTCCACCCAGTGGCTAAACCACATTTCTACAGTTGCACCCCTCAATTAGATTTCTCTCCTAGAATTCAAGGAGGAAGGACTCCTTTCCCTCAGTTCCACAGTTGCACCCCCCAATTTAATTTTCTCCTACAGTCACCTCCATCTCCACAGCTGCACCACCAATCCCCCCCCTTCCCTAATTTAGTTTTCGCCTAGCAACCAAGGAGAACGGACACCCCTCCCTTAGTTTCACAGTTGCACCCCACAATTTAGTTTTCTCCTCTAGTCCAAGTAGGAAGGTCACCTCTCCCTCAGCTCCACAGTTGCACCCCCCAGTTTAGTTTTCTCCTAGATTTCGAGGAGGAAGGACACCTCTCCATCTCCACAGCTGCAACGCCAACCCCCTCACCCACCCCATTTAGCTTTCTCCTAGCTACTGAGGAAGGACACCCCTCCCTCAGTACCACAGTTGCACCCCCCAATTTAGTTTTCTCTAGCCCAAGGAGGAGGACACCTGTCCTTCATTTCTACAGTTGCACCCCTCAATTAAATTCTCTCCTAGAGTTCGAGGAGAACTCCTCTCCCTCAGCTCCACATTTGCACCCCCAATTTAGTTTTCTCCTACAGTCTGAGGAGGACACCTCCATCTCCACAGCTGCACCACCAATCCCCCCCCCCTCCTCCTTCCCCCAACCAAGGAGAACGGACACCCCTCCCTTAGTTTCACAGTTGCACCCCCCAATTTAGTTTTCTCCTCTAGTCCAAGGAGGAGGACACCTCTCCCTCAGCTCCACAGTTGAAGTCCAAAATTCTGTTTGCTTTCCCCATTGCCTGGCAGCACGCTCTGCTCATTTTGCAATTGCCAATTTCGAGATCCCGGATACGGTGAGTTTTGTTCCTTCCTGGTGTGATTTTTGGTGCTTTTGTTCTATTAGGAGATCAGATGCGGTGGAGATGGATGAAATGATGGCAGCCATGGTCCTCACCAGTCTCTCCTGCAGCCCAATCGTACAGAGCCCCCCCTGCGGAGACCACATTCCAAGTAAGTACCTACAGAGATGACTGAGATCTCCATGCCGGTTCTGGGCCCATTCTCTTGTCCGGGTGTGGATCCTACCCAGGCTTGACCACACAGGGACCGTATTTAGAATGTCCTCCACTATTGTAGACAGTATTCATTGTGTTAACGTTAAAGGGTAACTGTTGCGAATGCTCAGACCCTGCTGCGGGCTTTTCCTGCTTTCCTTGGGGCATGCTGCAAACTGTTAAAGGAGAACTATGGGGTCAGTGTTTTTTCCCCATAGTTCTCCTTAGGGTAACGGGAGGACACAAACCATCGTCCTCCCGTCACCCTAAATGGGATTCATTGCTGTAGTATTAAAGTCTGAATTCAGGGGGTGGGCAAATCCCGAGATAGAAATGGGAAGAAAATCCACCCAAAATACAAATATGTATTCTTAGCTTTGAAGGAAAGTCTACTGAGAGAATATGGAGGTTTCCATTGCAAATCCCAAAATTGCGGACTCCATTTATCCCTTGGGGAAGCCATAGGTGGAATGTCCCCACCAAAATGGTTCCTTCCAGTGGGGACACTAGTTCTGGTGACCTTGCTGACTTCCAGGAATTTCCTCTCTTGTGGCCTTGTAGCCTCTGTCTGTGCAGCAACGTGATCGGCATGCCTTGCGCTACTTTAGTCGGCCTATCTGGTCTATCCGATGGGCAGCTCAATGGCCAACTGAAGCATGAGCAACGCTGGTTGTAATTGTAAGTCAGGGGTCCTCCATTGTCGGCCTTATTAAAGGGGAAGTGCTGTTATTGGCGGGATCTATAGAGAAGTGTTGCCTCTGTTATTACTCACACGTAGTTCTCCTTTCTAAGCCCCTCAAGTGACCTGTGACCACTGGAAGGAAAGCGGCGATGTGTCCGACAGCGGCAGCAGTACCACCAGCGGGCACTGGAGTGTGGAGTGCGGCGCCTCCACCCCGTCCCCCCCTCACACCGAAGCCAGCCCCAAATATACAAACGAGGCGTTCAGCGCTTCCCACGTGGATGAAGGCTTCGAGACCGACCCCGATCCCTTCCTTCTGGACGAGCCCGCCCCGCGCAAGAGAAAGGTACGTCGCCGCTTCCTAGGTGGAGGGGAACAAAAAAAAAAAATGGGTTGGGGGTGCTCAATCGCGCACCCCCTAGCACTGTGATCGCCCTGTCACCACATCAGGAGCTGGTAGGGCGGGGCTCCCGATCTCATCATCTGTCATGTGACAGATGATCACAGTGATCACGTGACCGGGGAGCATGTGCAACAATTCAGGGGGGAGCAGCGCCAGAGGGAGAGAGATGGAGGGTGGGGGGGAGAGAGGTGTCCTAAAAACTTTATTGAAGGTATTTGGGACGTACCCCCGGCATGGTTCCTTATCTCTAGTTTTGTTATGACGTGCCCCGGGCTCCTCATCACTTGCCAATCTTCTATCTGTGTTGCAGAACTCCGTGAAGATCATGTACAAGTGTCTGTGGCCAAACTGCGGGAAACTCCTGCGCTCCATCGTTGGCATTAAGCGCCACGTGAAAACCCAGCACCTTGGGTAAGGCTTCATGCTGCTCGCTCGCTGTACAAATATTTGTCTGCAAGGGGCTTAGCACTGTGGCTATCTGCTTTTCTCCCCCAGAAGGACGGCGCCATCTTTTGTGCAGGCATCATCCAGGGTCAACACCTGCTTCCCGGACTGAGATACTGGCTCAGAGATGGCGCAGTGGTGTAAATCCTGGGGCCTGTGCAGTTCTTGGCTGTGTTCACAAATGTCTGACACATCAGCTCCCTGCTGCAACCTCTCACCTTGGGACTTGCGACAGAGTTACAGTGTAAAGGCTGAGTAATCGCTGGGGGGAGGGGAGACTGGGGAAATGCTTCCTCCTGCCTGCAGCAGACTGATCACAGGGGGAGGGGTGACTGAGGAAATGCTTCCTCCTGCCTGCAGCAGACTGATCACTGGGGGAGGGGAGACTGAGGAAATGCTTCCTCCTGCCTGCAGCAGACTGATGACATCTCAGACGAGGCACACTCACTGACTGGACCTTTTTTATTATTATAAAGCTGTTGCTGTATATCATGACATGTCAGGAAGTGGATCCACTTTATATTGGACTAAGATGGCCGCCCTCATACCAGCCAATGTGTAAGGTTTAAGATTTCATTTGTGGAATGAGATTCTAACACTGTGTTCCCCTTCACCAGAGACGGAGCAGATTCCGACCAGCGTAAGAGGGAGGAGGATTTTTACTACACCGAGGTCCAGCTGAAAGAGGAAGCCGAAGCAGAGAGCACACCCAGGAGCCCGAGCGCGGCCACCACTCCACTCCTCATCCAGCCGGTGACATCCAAACCCGAGACCCTGGCTCTGGAGGTTCCCAACTTGGAGTCCCCACTGACCAGCGCGCTCAGTCAGTCGGCCCCGGGCTCCTTCTGGCACATCCAGGCCGACCATGCATACCAGGTACCCCACCTCCTTCTAATGCCACGGGTCTTGTAGGCTCCATTGGTCTTCAGTACTGGTCACTGCTTTAAGGGCCTATTAACACCAGCATGGTTTTAGTGGCCATTGGTGTGGAGTTGGGTCCCCCCACGGCCATTGGTGTGGAGTTGGGTCCCCCCACGGCCATTGGTGTGGAGTTGGGTCCCCCCACGGCCATTGGTGTGGAGCTGGGTCCCCCCTTTGGCTTTAACAGCCTCCACTCTTCTTGGAAGACTTTGCACAAGATTTTGTAAAGTGTCCGTGGGAATTTGTGCCCAATTGTGAGGTCAGGTCCTGATGTTGGATGAGAAGACCCGGCTCACAATTGGAGTTACAATTCACCCCCAAGGTGTTGAGAATGGTTGAGGTCAGGATTTGTGTAGGACATTCGAGTTCCTCCACACCAATCTGGTCACCCCATGTATTTATGGAGCTGGCTTTGTACAAAGGGGACAGTCATGGTGGAGAAGAAAAGGGTCTTCACCAGGTACTGATGTTGGATGAGAAGACCTGGCTCACAATCAGCGTACCAATTAATCTCAAAGGTGTTCAGTAGGGATGAGGTCAGGGCTCTGTGAAGACCACTGGGGTTCCTCCACACCATGTCGTTATGGAGCTGGCTTTGTACATGGGACAGTCACGGTGGGACAGAAAAGGGTCTTCAACAAACTGTTACCACAAGGCTGGAAGATCACAATTGTCTACAATACCTTTTGTATGTTGTAGTATTAACAGAACCCTTCACTGGAATCATCTGAACTCAAAACCTTGGAGAGATGTCCAGATCTCAGGAGACCAAGTTGGCACAAGGTTCTTCAATTCCCCGATTTTGTCCACCTACAAATTAAGAAAATCTTTTATAGTGGTTTTCCCCCGGGGACACCTGAACTGCATCACCCGGAGAAGGTGTCCCCATACGGTAGGCCATACGTTTGGTAGGTGTGATGGTCCACTATCTAGAAACATTAGGCCATATAGTGACTTGTATGTTTGTGACAATTAAGAATTGATCTGATCTATAATATAATACGGGATTGGTGGAATCCATGATGATCATTTATTGCTCCTAGTCCCTTTTTAATGGCAGCATTGGCACAGAAGACTCGGCTACCAGCCTTCCGTGGACTTCAAAAGCCTCATTTTGCCAGTTGGACCCTCTTGATGGGAACATTTTTGGGTTTTATGGCCACTGTGGTGATATGAAGTTCCCAGCATTCTTGCAGTACCGACTATTCTACTTTGTATATAATAAATATGAAAGCCGAATTAATATTCTACGTCCGGCTTTCTGCATTTTCCATTCTACCAAACAGTACAGCTTTTGGCATGTTGTCATCGGGCCCGGATTTCCCACAAGGCCACTGAGGCCCGGGCTCGGGGCGGCAGAGCGCAGAGGGGCGGCAGCGGGGACCTTGTGGGGAAGTTGCGGGCCCCGGTGTAAGGTGTCCGGCGGCCGCACACTACGGAGTCATGTTCAGGGTTCCAGAAAACAAATTCTCGCTCTTGTGCCAGTGATGGGAAATAAGGATGTCCAAGCAGAACTCCAGAATAGGCAAATGAGCTGTTTTCATCTGCCGAAGAATTTGTGTTGTAGGAACCCCTACCAGATGACACGTGCAGGTTCTGGGCCACCCCGCAGATAAGCAGTATAGCCTGATCCAGGACCTGCCCTGGCCTGTGATTGGACAAGGCAGTCCTGGTAAAAGTTGGCCGCAGAGCACTTTCCACGTCAAGAGCTGTTGGCATGGCTTTGACGTTTGCCACGTCTCTGAGGACTCGCCTACTATGTAGACCAGTCTGGCCAAGCCTGGGGAGCTCCCTCGTTTACAAAGGTCACTCCGCACCATTATTGCCCATTACTATTGGTTCCCAGCAGAGTAGGGGTTGACGCTGTAGCACTGAACGCAGCCATTTTTCAATGGGTGGAGTGTTGGGCCCACGTTTCCTCGCTTTAAGTACCTGAATTCCACTTGGTATCAGCCTCTTGCAGATATAGGGGTAGGGAGCAGCACGAGAGATCAATTGTGCTGCAGTTCCAGGAACATGCTGATAGCAGGATAGAGCGCGGTGATGGAGACGAGTTCTGCCCAGTCCCTGAAATGGGGGGGAGGCACAAGACCTGTAAACCCTGAATCTGATCTGGCATCAGCCCCTTGCCATCCACTGTACAGCAGAGCTCAGACTCAGTCAGTCAGTTGAACTGCAGTGATGATGCGCTACCAAGGAGCATGCTGCTAGAAGGATAGAGCACAGTGGCAGAGAGATGAGCTGACCAGTCTGCTCCTTCCCCTTTCACTGTCCAGGCAAGGGCAAGACCTGTAAGTGTTACTGAGGAAAATAGAGTCTCCTGATCTGCCAGACAGGGCTATGCTGTGTGACAAAGCTGTGTAAATCTCCGGACAGGACAAACAGAAATACAAATGCTTTGGCAGGTAGCACAGCTCTCGTGTATGTATTGGGTGGTTTGCCCGGAGTTCAGCTTTAACATGTTTGTAGCCCTTCGCTATGCCATGGAGTGAGATGGCTTTGTGCCTGTAACGGGAGAGTACAGACAATCCCGTACAGTGACCTGTGCTGGCAGACGGCACCGGCCGTGGCTCAAGTCACGCAGGGTCCAAGAGTGGGTGGCAGCGTGCGTTGTCCATGCTAATGCCAGGTGTACACGTCTCATTTTCTTATTATACGATGTAAAATATTAATATCTTTATATATCTATCTCTCTCTCTCTCTATGTCTCTCTATCTCTCTCTCTCTCTCTATCTCTCTCTCTCTCTCTCTCTCTCTCTCTCTCTCTCTCTCTCTCTCTCTCTCTCTCTCTCTCTCTCTCTCTCTCTCTATCTCTCTCTATCTCTCTCTCTCTATCTCTCTCTATCTCTCTCTCTATCTCTCTATCTCTCTCTCTCTCTATCTCTCTCTCTCTCTCTCTATCTCTCTCTCTCTCTCTCTCTCTCTCTCTCTCTCTCTCTCTCTCTCTATCTCTATCTCTCTCTCTCTCTATATCTCTCTATCTCTCTCTATCTCTCTCTCTCTCTCCTCTTAGTGGCCGGATTATTATATACACCGAGTGGCCGGATTATTATATACACCGAGTGGCCGGATTATTATATACACCGAGTGGCCGGATTATTATATACACCGAGTGGCCGGATTATTATATACACCGAGTGGCCGGATTATTATATACACCGAGTGGCCGGATTATTATATACACCGAGTGGCCGGATTATTATATACACAATGTATGTAGAAGAAATGATAGAGAACACTTGAATATGTGTTAGAATGTGACCTTTGTGTGTTGTTCTCTCCTCAGGCTCTGCCTTCCATTCAGATTCCGGTCTCCCCTCATATCTTCACCAGTATCAGCTGGGCAGCTGCTCCCTCCACGCTCCCCACCCTGTCTCCGGTGAGTAAAGGCGACACACCTGAGCCAAAAATACCCTTCTTTTCTTCGTGTGTATGCCTCCTCTTGTTTTGTCCTTCTAAAAATGTTGCAAGTACAGAAAAATCCCTTTTTTTTTTTTTTTTTTTTTTTTTTTTTTTACAAAAAACCTTGGTTTCCTCAAAGATGGCTTTTATAGGTGACTGAGTGAGATGTCACTCAGAATAACAAGCACTTTCGGGGGGCCGCACAGGGTCCCCTTCATCAGGCTCAGAGTAGACTTCTTTCTGCAGTTATGTCACCCCTGCCTGATGGACTAAGGAACTCCTCCAATCTCCACCTCTCTCTGTCCCATTCCCCCGGGATATGTTGAGTTCTTTCCCAGCAAAACAATGCTGCTGAGCCCATCCACACACTGCGTAGGAAAAAGGCTCTTGGGAGATGTAGCTTTGGGGGTGTTCCATGTCAATAGGAACTGAGCTCCCAGCAACAAGACTGTTGTTGATGTCATAGAGAGTTACTAAATGTTGTTTCTCTCACAGGAAATAAAAGTAATGCCAGAGTTATCTCGATGGGGAGGTTTGCACATACTCTTTAAAGGTATTGCCCCCCTTTTTGGGATCCATGACGGCTTGCAGTCTTTTGTGACAGTTGTGTATAAGGCTGGGGCGGACAAATCAATTTAAAATCCAGGAGCCCGTTCGTCCAATCCAGGAGCCAGCAGGATTTTTTTTCTTCAGGAGATCCATTGACAACAACTAGAGGAAGCCTCAAAATTTAGGTGCCAGCTGGGCTTTTTAAGGAGCATTGGTGACCTGGCTCCTGACATTTGTCCAGCCTTGGGTAAAGCGGTCCATTTTTCTTAGTACAAATCCTCCAGGTCTTGTAAAGTCTTTGGTTGTCTAGCCTGAACTGCACATTTGAGGTCAGTAGATTGGGATGTCCACGCAAGAACCTTCACTTTTTTTTATACTACCGCCACAGAAGGGTTGACATGGCCTTGTGTTTTGGAAAATTGCTATGTTGGAAAGTCCAGTGGTGCTCCATGTGCAGCTTTTCATCTTGACTAAATTCCCTATGCCGCTGTAGCCCACACAACCCCAAAACTGCAGAGTTCCACCTGCCGTGCTTGACAGTGGGTCCACCTGCCGTGCTTGACAGTGGGTCCACCTGCCGTGCTTGACAGTGGGTCCACCTGCCGTGCTTGACAGTGGGTCCACCTGCCGTGCTTGACAGTGGGTCCACCTGCCGTGCTTGACAGTGGGTCCACCTGCCGTGCTTGACAGTGGGCCCACCTGCCGTGCTTGACAGTGGGTCCACCTGCCGTGCTTGACAGTGGGTCCACCTGCCGTGCTTGACAGTAGGGATGGTGTGCTTCTCTCCATAGGCCTCGTTGACTCCTCTCCATACATTGCATATATGGTTGTGACCAGAAAGTTACATTTTGGTCTCCTCACTCCAAATTATTTTAGTTTATAGGTTCTCGAGTTGACTTTGTCTTTGCTTTTCGTCTGCAGATCCGAAGCCGGTCACTGAGTTTCAGTGAGAACCAGCAGCAACAACAACAACAGCAGCAGCAGCAGCAGCAACAGCAGCAACAACAGCAGCAACAGCAGACGCCATCCATAAAGTCGCATCTGATTGTGGCTTCGCCCCCCCGAGCCACCAATGGGAGCAGGTGAGATCTCTGAACTGCTTAGTACATACCTCTGTTGTGCTCCTGCGTGTGCCTGGAGAGGACTTCCATGGTAATAGAGATTAGGACCTCTTTGTATATGGATAAAGTCCAGACCTCCTCAAGCCTCCTTGTCGATTTTGGTTCTTGACTCAAGTTGCTCCTGATTCCTGGTGACAGATCACATTTTGGTTATGGTGAATGTGAATCCAGATATGGAAAGTTCTGTTTTGAAGCTGCTACGTAATCTCTGACTTTGAATCGGAGTCACTGTCTAACCCTCTTCCTTCAGTAGGGATCACATAACCAAATCCCTGGGCTCTTGGTCATGGGAGCAGCACAGGAGGGAGTCTGCAGCAGCATGGCTCCAGGAAAGGTAAGTATTTCCACCTTACTCTGGATTTAGTCTTCCTGGTAAGACTCTAGCTTTACTATTTCAGCATGTACCATTGTACTGTCTACCTTGGCATTGTAAGACTCAATCACATGTGTTAGAGACCTTGCCACCAAATTGCAGGTAAAACACAGAAAAGTATTTTAAATGCTTGCTTGCTGCATTTTCCTTTCCAGAAATGTTTTTCTATTCCTTTGCGGGACACAGGAAGTCTTTAACCTTGGGTAATACGGCCACCTATGGGATTATTGGACACTGGCAATCAAAAAGCTGGAGCCAAGGGTAGGCCCTCCAACACCCAGCATGCCTCCGCTTTTCTAGGAAGGACTGGACATGTTTTCTTCAGCTTTGCTGGGTTAGACTCTCATGGCCTTCAGTGGACAACAGCTTTTCATCTTCAAGGATGGTAATGGTGGCAACAGCTCCCATCTTCCTTCGAGGAAGCGACCTAAGGAACTGTTTAGAAACCTTCTTTTGTTTGTCCAATCCTGGACTACCTCACCGAGATGCTTCCACCCTGATTCCCAGTCTGCCAAAGCCTCAGACAAGCGTTCCTCTGCATGAAGGTGCGCCACTTTCCGGAGTGGGTAGATGTTTGTTACCCTTTGCAGATGCTTGGACAATTCGGCGTCCCCAACGCTTGGGTTTAAGAGGTGTTCTACCAGGGCTTCAAACTTCACTCCCTGCACCCTTCTTGGTTTCTTGCCTCCAATTTTCCTGTGTCACCGCAAAGGTAACCAGATCTCCATTTGCTCCTCTTGGGCCTTCTGGGTCAAGGTGACACTGTCTGAATTTGGCAGAATGGTTTCAAGGGTTTTCCTCCAACCCGTTCATCATTACCAAACCCAAGGAACCCAACCTGCCTTATCTTGAATCTCAAAGCTCTGAGTGTCTTCATTCGCACTCAGGAATTCTGCATGGAATCCACCAAATCTGTCTTACCCTCCCTTCAACCCGAGAGACTTTCTGGCTTCTGGACATCAAGGATGTGTATCTACAAGTCCCCATGTTTCCAGTGGACCAGTGTTTCCTACATTTGCTGTGAGGCCCTTACACTACCCGTTTGTGGCCGTGCTTTTTGGCGTACTATCTGCAATTTGATGTTCACCGAGGTGCTAACCCCATTATAGGCCCTGCTGCACTCTTGTTGCACCCCTATTGTGGGATACTTTAACGCGACCTCCTGCTAAAGAAACAGTTGGTGCGGGCTCTGACAAACTACGTGGTTTTGACTGCCCAGACATTGCAGCAGTTTGAGTAGTTCCCGAAGTTCCAGAAATGATTGCTGGAACAGACGTATCGTTTGGAGCATCAGGGCCTAGTCCTGGACACCGCTAAGGCCAGAGTGTTCTACAGGAGAAACTTCAGACTCTTGGATCTCAAATTTGAGTGTTCCATTCCAGGAGTCTTCTGAGATTCTTGGGTCTCATAGTAGCCTTCTTTGTGGCAGTTCCTTTTGCCCAGTTCCACAGAAGACCTCTTCAGTGCAACGTTTAGTCATCGTGGGACAAGTCAATTCAGTCACTGGACAGATTGATTTGTTAGGCACCGAGGACCAGATAGTCTCTGGCTTGGTAGACCAGGAATCTGACCCTGATGTTTAGCAAACGGTTCTTCCTGTCTTATGGAGATCTTCTTGATGAATGGCAGCCAGTCAAGCTGGAGAGTAGTTTGGGGTTCCCTGTTGGTCCAAGGTACTTGGTCGTTAAAGGAGTCTCTTCTCCCAATCAACGTCCTGGAGCTTCGGGCGGTTTGTCTGTCACTCCAGTGTTGGACCATCCTTCTGGAAGGCCATCCAATCTGAATTAATTCAGACAACGTGTACATCAACCATCAGGGTGGAACCTAAATTCTTGCTGCGGCAAGAGAGGTAAATCGGACTGTGTCCTGGGCAAAATGTCACGTTCCAGCCTTGTCCACCAAGTCCCTTCCTGGGTAGACTTGCAGAGTTCCTCAGCCAACCATAAGGAAAGCAGGTTGTGTTATGGACTAGTCTATCGTACTATCCTCGGTAAGATTGGAGAAGACCTATTTGAGAGCGGCACAGTTTTTTTTTTTATGGGGTTAAGGTTTTATGAGATGGCAATACCAATATATACTTTGACACCAGCAGACTTTATATATTACAGCATCATCACCGATATATTTTCTTTCTTCTTTAAAGGAAAGTTCGCGGTGAAGCAAAGAAGTGCCGCAAGGTTTACGGGATCGAACACCGGGACCAGTGGTGCACCGCCTGCCGGTGGAAAAAGGCCTGTCAGAGGTTCCTGGACTGAGTGCCGAGGGGCCGCACACACGCACATCTCTTTAGAGGTGGAAAGGCTTCAGCATCTAAAGGGCTCATGGAGTCCACTTGGAGCATCTCTAAGAGAAGGGTGGTGACTAAGGACTGTTTTGACTTGTAAATTCCAAAAACCTGTACAACATTGTTTTTTTTTTGCCAGATTTTTTTTTTTTTTTAAAGCTCCCCATTTTGTTTTTAAAAATAGACTGTAGGGGGTCTTTTTGTTTTTAAATCTTTTTGCTAAATGGACATGCAGGGACCAAAATGTCTTCTTTTAACGATCCCTTGTCGCTACAGTTTTCATAAAGCATTTTAAGAGATATCAAGATACCCGTCCGCCTGTAATATAGTGTCCGCCTCCCCTAATTCGCTTGTAACATGTTCTGAACTTGCTACAGTATTTGTGCTTCTGGTTTTTATTTTGTTCTTCCTTTTTTTTTCCTTTTCTTGATTCCGCAAAGTGCATGATGATTGGGCGTCTCCTGCAGCATCTGTGGGACAGTCAACATTGTTTTCTTTTTTAGCAGCAAATGAAAAGAATACTCCGGTCATAATGTAATTCTCACATAGGGAGTTTGGGGGGGGGGAGGAGTTTTAATTTTGGTGACAAATACTATTTTTGTGGTGCTTAAAAGGTGCTCAGAGAAAGTGGCGCGGTCACGCGAGCTTTTCATGGCCGATGATTTTATGATATGAGATTTCTGTGACTTATTAAAAAGCTGATCTTATTTTTAAAATGACCTTTTCTACAATTGTTTTTCGTTTTTTTCGTGAAGGCGGGGTTCGTGTTCCGGATTTGTAGAGTTTTCCCCTCTTGTGGCTACCGGTGCAGTTAGCATTGTCGCTCAAAGGAACTGCTGGGAGATGAGGTTACCAGAGAAGAGAATGCATTGCTTGTCACCCAGCAAGATGTATTGGCACATCGGCACCCCCATGCCATGCCCTCAGCTCTGTTGGAGCCCTAATGACATTCCTCTAACAGAGCAGGGATTCAAGGTAAGGGGAAGTATGTCCGCTCCTCTAGGTGACTGTGCTATGCCCTGAGTGGCCAATCACCAGGTCGTTGCACTGTTACGTTGGGGGGGAGAGGGATCAGTGATGACACCCTCCCAAGTAAACTCTGACCGTATCCAACACCAGAGTTGATCCAAAGTGGTCATCTTCAGAGGGTAGATCTGGAGGTGGGCCATCACGAGGTGCTGTCACTATACCTTGATTGGGCCGCCATCAACATACAACATTTTATGGTTTTTGCCAGATTTTTTTTTTTTTTTTAAAGCTCCCCATTTTGTTTTTAAAAATAGACTGTAGGGGGTCTTTTTGTTTTTAAATCTTTTTGCTAAATGGACATGCAGGGACCAAAATGTCTTCTTTTAACGATCCCTTGTCGCTACAGTTTTCATAAAGCATTTTAAGAGATATCAAGATACCCGTCCGCCTGTAATATAGTGTCCGCCTCCCCTAATTCGCTTGTAACATGTTCTGAACTTGCTACAGTATTTGTGCTTCTGGTTTTTATTTTGTTCTTCCTTTTTTTTTCCTTTTCTTGATTCCGCAAAGTGCATGATGATTGGGCGTCTCCTGCAGCATCTGTGGGACAGTCAACATTGTTTTCTTTTTTAGCAGCAAATGAAAAGAATACTCCGGTCATAATGTAATTCTCACATAGGGAGTTTGGGGGGGGGGAGGAGTTTTAATTTTGGTGACAAATACTATTTTTGTGGTGCTTAAAAGGTGCTCAGAGAAAGTGGCGCGGTCACGCGAGCTTTTCATGGCCGATGATTTTATGATATGAGATTTCTGTGACTTATTAAAAAGCTGATCTTATTTTTAAAATGACCTTTTCTACAATTGTTTTTCGTTTTTTTCGTGAAGGCGGGGTTCGTGTTCCGGATTTGTAGAGTTTTCCCCTCTTGTGGCTACCGGTGCAGTTAGCATTGTCGCTCAAAGGAACTGCTGGGAGATGAGGTTACCAGAGAAGAGAATGCATTGCTTGTCACCCAGCAAGATGTATTGGCACATCGGCACCCCCATGCCATGCCCTCAGCTCTGTTGGAGCCCTAATGACATTCCTCTAACAGAGCAGGGATTCAAGGTAAGGGGAAGTATGTCCGCTCCTCTAGGTGACTGTGCTATGCCCTGAGTGGCCAATCACCAGGTCGTTGCACTGTTACGTTGGGGGGGAGAGGGATCAGTGATGACACCCTCCCAAGTAAACTCTGACCGTATCCAACACCAGAGTTGATCCAAAGTGGTCATCTTCAGAGGGTAGATCTGGAGGTGGGCCATCACGAGGTGCTGTCACTATACCTTGATTGGGCCGCCATCAACTTCTCTTTAAAGGAAACCTGTAAACTACGATGTTGAGTTTTTGTTGAAAATTCTAGTTGGTTGGTCCAGTGATCCAATGCCCCCAATACCTTCTGTCCCTGAGTAGGCACCAGCAATCTGTTCAGGTGTTTCCCTTGCACTATGGCTTTCCTGAACATGAAAGGAGCAGAGACAAGCCAGGCAACTTGCATTTTGACTAGAGCGCTGTCAGGATCCCAGTCACTTCCAGTGCAGGTTCTGCACCTGAGATAGATATATGCGATGTCAGGATCCCAGTCACTTCCAGTGCAGGTTCTGCACCTGAGATAGATGTATGCGATGTCAGGATCCCGGTCACTTCCAGTGCAGGTTCTGCACCTGAGATAGATGTATGCGTTGTCAGGATCCCAGTCACTTCCAGTGCAGGTTCTGCACCTGAGATAGATGTATGCATGTCGTTAAAACATGCTTTAGAGCCTCTTAACGGAATCCTATGGCAGCCATTGCTCATCGCTTTATGAAAATGCTTATTGCCTAGTCGTCTGGTTCCAGTTCTGAGACTCCTAACTTGAACCAGCATAATGCAGATCAGCAGGGCCAGAGTGAAGTCCAAAACCGCTAATCTGCATAATTCTATAGCGATTGAGAAACAAAAATCTTGCACTAGTTGTTCAGAATATTGGTACTTATTCCATTATCCCAAAAATAGAAAGTCAATGTCAGTCACTCAGTCGCGGGATTCGTTTTACAGCCAGGAACTAGTATTTTCGGAAGGGGGAAGATATCCTCTACATCCTCCTTAGTCATGTGACTCTGGGAATCTGTACATGCATACATTGTATCCACAAGGCCCAAACTGTTTTTTGTTGTGTATGAAAGTCCTATCAGAACCTGCCAGAAGGCTTTGAAGACATCGTGTCCATTAAATTCAACCTTCAGGTAATGGAGAAGAGGAAGCCAAGAGATTTCGACAGTCCAGAAAAAGTTTGACCACAAAATGGTCAAAAAAGTCCACACGTGTTTTTGGAGGTTCAAGAGCTCAACATCCCATACAAATTTCCTTCAATTTAAGTCTTAAGCTCTGATGTCTGGAGCTACGAACCCCAAAACACGTTGGAGTTGCCTAATCAACTTTTGTCTTTCTGACAACCTAATATAGCTCTGATAGGACCTTCATACAGAACAATGTTAACTTTTGTCTGGACTGTAAAAACAAACTCTTGGTACTCTGTTCACTTGAAGACATTACTCCCAAGAGCCCAGCTATGGCCAGGGTCCACTAGAGTGCTGCCTTTCAACCCTGAGCCGAGGTGCCCACCCCAGTCCAGCACCCTACCACCTCCATTTCTCTGTTAAGTTCAACCGGTCACAGGCCCAGCAGTTTTTGGTCTGCCGGAATCACCGGCGTGGAAAGGTCTGGTGGGTCCGAAGCCGAAAGGGACAAGCAGTACTTTGGACTTAGACTCAACAGCAAAAAAATAAGACCATTCTCATTTGGGAATCTTCCATTTAAGTGGTGCTCTGTTTTTGCAGCATCCACCAAGGGTTGCATTTCCGTGCTCCTCTACCAGCTAATTTGAGGCCACTGCCAAGCCATAGGCCAGCGATCAGGTTCAGCTGGGTCCAGGTTCATGTACGTGACCCTTGAAGGTGCTACGAGCCCTGTCTCTGGAATTTCCCTGATTTTCATTAAACGCAGGCTTGTTTGTGGCTTTGTGGGATGGGAGGAAAGGGGTGTTTTTTGGGGCATCTTCTATAGTTTGCATTTGAGCTGCTTTCACGGTTTGGGACAAGGAAGATGGCCGCTACAATCCATCCTAAAATACTTGGGGACTTGAGGCATTTTGGGTTTGAGGTTTTATGTGATCCGCGGAAGAAGTATATGCATGAATGTTGGTGCTGATGATGTTTCTGTCCTATCGGCTAACGCATGGCTATGAAAATGGGGTCAAGCAGTTGGCACGGCAGCAACAACCAACCAGCGACCTCCTCACTTTTCTTTTGACTTTGAGTCAGGCTCAGACAAGCTAAATCAAAAGGCAAATCTGAGTTTCATAGGTAAGCATGCACAGTTTTAGGATTTTTGGTAAAGCTCGGCCATGACTGGTTCTCAGTGATGCTTTTGTCTTTTTATATGTATAAACAATCTTAAGCGATCCCACTACAGGCAACGTCCGTGCAGCGTCAGGCCCTCTGGAATCCGCTTCCGCCCCAAACTATCAAGAAAACAGAAAGTTATCGACACCATTTTGTGCTGCTTTTATTGTCATGATTGCATTTCATACACGGACTTGTAGGGTCTTTCCCCTAGTGGACATCCATATATCAGGAAAGCAGTCCCTATCCTTTCTGAACAGTTATTGAGATAAAATCAGCTACAGGCAAGACCAACTGGAGCTTGTGGCTAATGGATACTTTATAGCGTCATTGACTATACACGTTCTTCTGAACACGCTATACTTGCCCTGGTGTGCTATGTCCATTCTGGCCTAGCTATTCTCAACCAGGGTTCATGCAGAGGTTTATAGGGGTTCCTTGTTTAGTGGTGGATCTGCGCTCTCGTTTGATGGTGCCTTCATAATTTCAGGCTAGTTTACATGACGCCAATTATCTTTTTAGCTGTCTGTAAGGACTGCTTTCTTCCCACTGACGACCACTGTTAGGGGACTATTCCCATACTTCCCATTGACTCCCAATGAACTGGTGCAGTCTTTCCATAGACGACTAATGTAGGAGCCATTCAATGAACATAGATGTAAGGGGGTGCCTCACTACTCTTTTCCCACTGACCACCAATGTTGGGGGATGCCTGTACCAATGA